GACGCCGGCAGCGACGGTGAGTGCCTTGCCTGGTAATTCTTGTCGGCCCAGTCGACGACCTTGGCGCCTTTCATATTGTGAACCCAAACGGAGATTGCGCCAGCACCAGTGGAACGGCCATTGTAGTCGTGACCCGTGTTGCGAACGACGAAACGGATGTTAAACTTCTTAGCAAAGATGATGGCGGCTTGGATATCACCAGGCGTGCGAGCGTCAACGGCATAGACAACGTAGTTGCCGAGAGTGCATGGGCGCTCGCGAGGCTGGAAAGGGTCGCAGCTCTGGTTGGCGAAAAAGGGCGCCATGACAGAGGAGGACGAGTCCATGCTGTTCGGATGGATGGTTAGGGACCCCATCTCTCCGGCCCACCAACGAACGTACTAGGGGAGCGTGACTTACTGGATCTCCGAGAATTGCCACTTCGACTGAAGGTCGGCGCACTTGGCAGCGTCGTAGGTCGGGTCGTGGCACGGTGAGCCGAGAGGAGTCGTGGCAATGAGCCTGCCAGAGACGGTCGTGTTCAGGGCATTCCACTGAGCCGTGGAAGGCCAGCAAGCATCGCCGGGGAAGCATTTGCAAGACTGACCCCTGGCGACAAGCTCGGGGGCAGCCCAGGCTGTAGCCGCCAGGATGGCGTGGACGAAGAAGCTCTTCATCGTGAGGGGTGGTCAGGATGGAGGTGCAGGCTACGACCAGTCGGAGACAGAGAAGGAGGAGGGAGGGAGGGGTGAGAAGAAAGGAAAAGAGCGACAAGAGGAGAGAAAAGGCAGGACAGAAGAAGCAATCAAGAGAGTGAAGTTGCCTTTTCCGATTCTCTCCAGCTCTAGAGAGAGATTCGTCATTTCGGCCTCGAGGGGCGGCTAGAACATTTTGTACGACTTTGCTGGTCCCGACAGCGCGGCCCGCAAGGTGGAGGCCGCCTTGGCCGGTCTTGGCAATCGGGGCAAAAAGGCCATTGAGCCCAGCGCAACTGGGAATGCAACGCGGACGCAGTCCCAACGCACCACCGCACGAACATGGTAGACGGGGTCAATAGAACAGCGCAGGCAAAGGCAAAACGTAGACGACAGATGTCCGTACCCCCTCCCCTAACGTGGCGTGGGCGTCTGGACTGCGGGTCTCCCCGGCCAAAGAGGAAAGGATGCCGGGGATTGGACAAGGGCCGAGTTGGCTTCTGTCCCCGTTTGGTGTAGTTGCAAGGGGCGATGATGGCAAAGCTACGTGCAAGAGAGCGAGGGGGGGGCAGTAAATAATGCCACTAGTGCGCGCGAATTGATGCAATGACCGAGGCCGAACATCCGGTGGCCAGCCATCGAAGGCTAACTTATTATCAGGTGAGTATTGTCGGCATGGTAGCTGGGACCCGAGTCGAGCTTGACGGGCAACTCTGCGACCTATACATGGGAGGTACCTTTCGGCTGTCGAACTGCATGTTGGGTTGGTTTGCATGTCGGCCGCCGTTACATGGTTCGGGTCGGTCGGGGTCTGGCACCTGGACCGTCAGGGGTCCTGATTCCAATATGGGAGGAGGCCGAGTCAGTTGACAGGCCAGTCATGGAAACGTCAGAGAAGCTGGCGAAAGATGAATGCTGTGTTGGCGAACCACTGTACTGGAGATGGATGATAAACAACCCACGTGGGCCAGGTGGGTGACGCGAGGCCACCTCTTGAGGTTGCAGTCGGCAGAGTGCTTGCTTGGTGCTCGGTGCTGACTGGATGCTTTGGTGCTTGCATGGTTGGGTCGAGGGGGGCCAGGGGAAGGGGAAGGCCACCGGCGGCGAGTCGATATCCCCATCTGAACCCAGGCGCATGGAATCATCTCGGCAAATCTTCCACAGCACGGCCGAGGTGTGCAGGAGAGGCAGCACCTGCAGGCACGAAATGAGGTACCACGACGCGGCCAGGGGCCACAAGGTTGCAGATAAGCCTGGCATTCGACGACTGGGTCATGATGCATGCTACATGCACATGCAGTTGTAGTCATGGCGGTGGATGGGACGAGCAAGGGTCATGGATGGGCAGACGAGACCAAGAGGCGTCGTCGCAAGATCAGGGGATTAGGGATTTTCTGCTGGGGAAGGAAAGCACGGGAGGTGGTGCCTTCGGTGGGGGTAGGGCCGCACACTAGCAAGCACGACCCTCCAGGTACTGCCGGCTGGTCCCTTTCCCTTCCCGCGTCCAATGTCTGTGCTGGGTGTGGGGCTTGCCGAGATGATCGGGACTAGCTTCCGCTACAAAAGCCGTGCCGGGGAAGGCGTGGTGGATGCTCTTGGCGCACCGACGCGCACACACACACACAGGTCGTACGTCCTTCTTTCCAATGCGCGACCAGCATCATGTGATCGCGCCTGGATGCCGCATACACCGTGCAGGATGCATGTGTCTTGGGGCAAGCACCCCCCACTCCAATTGAAAAACACCGAGAGATGTAGTACAACTCCTGCCCCGTCGCTCTCCTGACATCCGCTCTCTGCATGAGGGTTCCTCGCCGCGAGACATCGGGAAGAGAGGGGCGGGAGAGAGCTTGCCCGTTGTCATGAGCTGTTCAGAAGCTGCGTCTTCGGCTGACAAGTCTTCCCCTTCTTAGCTTACCTCACCTGGGTACCTAGGTAAAGATCGCCCCCCACCGACAAACAAACCACTCAAAATTCAATCTCACTTTCCCAAATCTTATCGTCAACACCATCACAGTCCTTGAGAGCCTTTTCCGTTGATCACGGCACTTGCCGTCGTGGGGTCGTCGAAACCGTTATATGCCCCAGAAAAATAGACAAGAATACGGATTGGCAGGTACAAGGGTCTGAGACACAGAGTTGATTCCCCGAGTCACGTCTGATAGGCCTTCTTCACGAGCATTGCACTCTCGTCGTCGCTCTCTCATTGCGGCTGTCTACTCCTCTTGGATCCTCCCTTTGCAGCCTTCTCACGGTACCCCCCTCACCCAGAGCATCGTCCATGTTCTGTAGTCCTTGGCAATACAGAGCTAAGCGTGGTGGCGTCTCCTGTGGGGGAGGTCGTGCCGAGGAACCGCTACCTGCCTACCTTGCCTGGCAACTTATCATTTCCAGTGCCCATTGCTAGTCTCCCATATTTGAAGGGATCCGCGACGGTGGCTTGCATGGTGATCCCAGGGCACTAGGCTAGCCTTGTGGTGGGGTAGAGGCCTCAGGACTGTGACATGTCGCCTGCAATAGCGCCCGAGACGCCTTCGAAAGCGCCGTTGCCCTCTTTTCAGTCAGTCTTCTTCACGAACCTGTGTCGTGCCATCGTGAAAAAGAGGGCCATGCGTCAGCTAGAGACGCCCTCCCCCAAGTCATTCTAGGCGGGGAGAGCCCTTCCAGCCACCCGCCATCCCCGAACACCTAGAGCAGTGCCGCGTTGGGTTACACCCGTGGAATAAGATTCAAGGTGCTGCCAAGCTTGTGGTAGTCCGTATGTATCAGCTCAGTATAGTGGAGGCGCGTGGAGAATTCTTTCCTTGCCATCGCTTGCTTCGGCTTTTTTTTTGGCGATATCGAGCAGCGGCATCATATGGGGAAGGGGGGGGGGGCGGACCCCTTTTTTTCTGCCCTCCTCTCAAGCATACTTCTATCGGCGGTCCCACACCTCGACCCTGTGGGCACCGCTTCCTCACTGCAACTCATTCTGGATTTACGTCTGTTTGCTGTGTTCTTTGTTCTTTGTGCCGATCACAGTTCGAGAGGCTATCGCTCCCGCACAAAGGAACTTGCCTTTCGTCATGTCGGCCGAGGGTTGGACATATGGCACCCCTGTGGGCACCGCCAACGATGGCCCTATGATTACCGGGATCGCCATCGCCTTTACGACACTGTCTCTGATTGTGATTTGCCTCCGCATGTATGTGAGGGGGTTCATGATCAAAGCCACCGGAGCGGGTATGTATCTCCGCACGACAAAAGCTAAAGGAGGAAGTGCTTTATGACTGACAACTTTTCAGACGACTGGATTATTTGCTTCACCTGGGTAAGGAAGATAATTTCTCAATTTTTCTTGGGTTCCTAGACCTTGCCTGACTCGATTTGTAGATTGGCTGCGCCGGATTTGCCGTTGTCACCATCATCCGTAAGTTCATCCACGCTGAGCAGTCTTGTGCCGCATCTGTTAACACTCCAGCAGAGACAAAATGGGGTCTCGGTCTATTGCATCTTGATGATTTTCCAGAGGAAAACGTCTACGAATTCGGTCTTCTGCAGTATATGGGCGCTCCATTGTACGTCCTCCGCCATCCCATTCTCGTGCCGCCTTCGAGGCGACCACCTCTAACAGTTGACAGCTATATTACCAGCATCTACGGCTTCAAGCTCAGCCTCCTCTTCTCCTACCTCCGAATCATACCCAAGGGTATCTATCGCTATGCAACATACACAGTCATTGCCCTCTGCAGCATGTTCCACCTTTCGTTTCTGATTGTTCAGATCAACCTCTGCACCCCTATCCGCCTCCAATGGGACACCTCCGTCGCCGGCACATGTGTCAAGGCCGTACACTTCTATCTCAGTATGGCCTCCCTGACGATCTTCTTTGACATCGTAGTGTACGTGTCCCTCCCACCGTTAATTTCGTTGTCAATCTCCCGACTGACAACAACAGGATGTTCCTGCCATTCCCCGTCCTCCTACGAGCCCAGATTCAGCGCCGCAAGAAGCTCGTTCTCTTGGGCCTTCTGGCTCTGGGTGTCTTTATTACCGTCATCCAAATTTTCCGCATCCAGACCGTGGTCCGCCTGGCCAACTATCTCGATTCCGCACCGCTCATCATGTGGTCCACCATCGAGAACAATCTCGGCGTTATAGTCACCTGCGTCCCAACGCTGGCACCATTGATCAAGGCTTTCCGCGAGAGGAGCACCGGTGCCTCCGGCGGGCCTTCGCAAAAGTATGCTGTTCAGGGTACCGGCGCGTCGAGCGCTGCGCGCGGCGGAGATTTTGCCATGCGCAGCTGGAGGGGACGGGGCAGTGGAATCATGCCCCTTGGTAGCGGCGTTGATCACGAGTTTGGAAAGGGGACCAGTGACGCGGGTAGCACAGAGTTTATTCTCGAGGGAACGGGCATCGTGAAGAAGACTGAGGTCGTTGTGACACGGGATATCCGCCAAGAGTATGGCGATGACCATGCATCTGTTTCATCATTGAGGAGATGAAGAAACAAATCCCTACGTGGTATGCCTAGCGACCACTGATGGTTATAGATAATAATGTCGACAAATTGATGATTTTGTACGCCAAATGCTTGAAATCCACAGTGAAAACCCAATGCCCCCCCTTGCGACTGGTATAGGTAAAGTACAACACGCCAAGGTCTGGATCTATTTCTCTCCTCTTCTCCTTCTCTCCTTCTCTCTCGCTTTCTATTCCATATCTTCGTCCTCAGCAGCCCCGGCCTCCTTTCTTGCCTTGGCAGCCGTCACCCATTCGGCCGCCTTGGCCATAACTCGCTCCTTGCCCTTGGGATCCGTCTTGCCCTCCCACTCAGCCCATCTCTTGAACCATTTCATGGCCCTCTGCGCCTTGAGACCCTTGACCTTTGTGCCGCGCTCGAACACGTCGCGCACGGCGGTCGCGTCGGCGCCCGGCGCCGCCATCTCGAGATCGACGAGCTGGTTCCACAGGTCGAACCGCTTCGGCCACGTCGCCAGCAGCGTTTCGAACGTCGTGCGACCGCGCTCGGCGTCGCCGTTGGGCGAGCGGAACTCGAGCGAGCCGAACTTGGCCATGAGGGCCGCCGTGTGCTGCTCGCCGAGGGCCTGCGTCGCGCGGGGCAGAAGAGCGCGCGCGCGGTCGGGCTGGTTGAGCGTAGCGTGGAGGAAGTGAGCATAGTTGGTCCAGAGGTTGGGGTTCTTGGAGCCGAACTTGGCGACCGTAGCTTGGAAGAGCTCATCTGCTTTCTGCAAAGAAAGTTAGTATGGTTGAGTTCAACCCACAATGGAAGGGGGGACGGGGTGTGGCAGCAGTGCGAAGAGCTGGACTGGCTTACCTTGTGCTTTCCAGACTGGATGTAGATGGTTGCCAACCGTTCGTGAATCTCCTGGTCATCGTTGTACTGGCATGCCCGCTGAAACACCTCCTCGACGGTCGTCTTGGTGCCGTAGGCCACCTCCAAGTTGAGGTACGCGATCCACACGTTGAGCTTCTCGGTCTGCTCGCGAATGTTGATCGTCTTGATGGCCCGCTCGGCAATCTCACGCGCCTTGGTCAGCTCACTGACCCGCATCTGCAGCGCCATGTACGCGATCCAAAGAGCGGACGAGTCGGGCTGACCAAGCAGCAGACGCTCATAGTCGCTGGCCGTCTGGGGTCCGTTGGCATCCAGCGCGACCGTGCGGTCGACCTGGATCTCGTCCGTCTTGGGCTTCTTCGTCTCCTTCTGCTTCGACGCGCTGCTCTTGGCGGGCGCTGACCGGGTCTCCTTGTCAGAGTCGTCAAATGCGTCGCCATCCCAGTCGTATTTTCCGTTGCTGAGTCCGTTCTGCTCCATAGACATGTCCACGTCGCCATCCTCATCCACGTCCGAGTCCGAGTCGGCATGGTCTTGCTCGTCGTCCGAGTCCTCCAGATTGTCGGTGCCCATGAACTTGATGGACGCTCCGCCTTCTGCCAGATCCTCACCCTCGTCGCTGTCAACATCCTCCTCATCTTCATTGTCGGAATCAAGACCAGCGCCCTCGCCCTCGTCCATATCGACATCTTCGTCGAAGTACGCGGGCTTCAGACCGAAAGAAATGCGCTTCTTGTTGCGATCCAATGTAAGGACCTTGGCCTTGACGACGTCGCCGGCTTGGTAGAGCTTCCTGGCGTCTTCGACAGGGCTGTCCGCCATCTCGCTCCTGTGGCACAGGCCACTGACGTTGTCAGATCCATCGACGACGATGAAGGCACCAAAGTCCTCCACCTTACGGATCTTGCCGGTGACAATCTGGTTAGGCTTGATGTCTTTGTAGGTCTTCAGGGGCTTGTAGTTGTCATCAACGACGGAGCTCTTCAGGCTCAGCTCAACCTGGCCGGCGCCCTCGTCAACGGACAGAACGCGACCCTTGACGAGCTGGTCAACCTGAAAGTGCTCCTTCCACTCCTTGAGGAAACGGTCGGAAAGGTTGGAGATCTTGACGAGAGCGGAGACGCTGCCACCGAGCAGCACAAAGACGCCCTTGTCGGCTACGTGCTTGACGAAACCACGGACGGTGCTGCCGGAGACGACCTGCTTGACGCTTGTGATCTCGGAATCGGTGATGGGAGACGATGAGTTCAGGACGCGAGAGGGACGAGTCGAGAGGCGGACGCGCTTGTTGCTCTTGTCCACTTCCACGACAGAGACCTGAATGGCGTCGCCCTCATCGTACTTGAGAGTGTTAACGTCACCAAAGTCATCGCTCATGTCGACAAGGTGAACGTGACCGGCAACGTTTGAACCAAGCTTTACCATGATCTGACGCTCGTTGACCTTGACTACACAGCCGGCAAGGACCTGGTTCGGCTTGATGCTGTCCCAGGTAACGGCTGCAGAAGAGTCAGAGCGAGCTGATAGGTCGAGGACACCGCGCTTCGCATCGACGGCGATGACGCGCACCTTGAGCGCGGTGCCGATGGGGAAGTTGTTGATAACGTCGTTGATCTTGGACGTGTCGTCGGACACGTCCATGGCGTTGATCCTACCGCGGACGACGGGCGAGATGTTGGCCCAAAGCCCGTTGCGGGAGGCGTTATTGACAAAGGCGACGTGCGTGGAGCCAACCTCGAGATCTTCCAGGGACAAAGGCTTGAGTACATCGGCCTCAATGTCACTGGCCTTGGCGGTGAACTCGAGGACGGAGTTGTAGGACCGGTGAGAGAAGGCAAGGAAACGGTGGTCTTTTGAGTCGTGAAGACCGATCGCGCGGACACGAACGGTGTCACCTTTCTTGAACTGAGAAAGCGGCTCTTCGGGATCCTTGATTTTGTCCCAAGAATCGAAAATCTGGGAAATATCGACTCGGCCCTGGACCTTGTCTGCGGTCTCGACATTCAACTGAGTGTCGTGGATGCCAACAATCTTAGCCTCGACAATCTGGCCGAATGTGATGTCCTGCACGGGACCGTGGGCCTGGGGCCTGGCGGACTCCTTCTCCTTCTTGGGTTTCACCTCGTTACTTGGAAGCTCTGCTGTCAAAGGGTCGACGACGAGACGGGTCCTCTCGAGATCAATGGCACGGATCCGGACGGTGATGCTCTGATCCTTGCGCAAACCAAAGCCCTCTTTTTCTTGATCCTCGACGGGAAGTCTCGTCTTGAACATGACACCGACGAGGTTACCGCCAAATCGAACAAGGACTGCGCCGGGTCGGATGGAGCTGATGAAACCAGGCACCTCGGCGCCAACCTTGGCGTCAGCGTACGTGCGGATAAGCTTGTCTGTCTTGCCAGCCTCTACGAGGCTAGGCTTGGAGCTCAGGGTGATCGCGCGGCGACGTTCATTTTTGTCGAGGACCAGGAGGTCGGTGAGGGTCTGGCCCATGTGTATCCTCTTGAGGGCAGACTGGCTCTTGTTGGCAGATTTGTCAGTAAGCTGGCCAAGGGGCAGGATAGCCTTGAGGTTGGATCCATCAAGCTCAACGTGAACATCGTCGTCAGACTTCTGAATCACCTTGCCCGACACGATCGACCCCACAGATAGGGCCTTGAGCGCAGCCTGCTTGTCGAGGCCGAAAGCGGACGGGTCCTTGCAAGATACCAGCAACTTCTGGTTCTCTGGGTCGACTTCGAGAATGTGAACGTTGACGACCTGGCCGACCTTGAAGTGCTCCTTGGGGTCCTGGATAAATGCCTCGCTCATTTGAGAGACAGGCAGCCAGCCCCGGACACCCTTGTAGAACTCGATGCGGGCGCCGTGAGGTGAGATGTCGCTGATGGTGCCAAGAGCTTGTTGCCCGACTTCAACCTCATCAAAGCTCTTGATGATGGGCGTATCCGAGTTGACCAGCGTTTTCTTCAGTGTCAGCCGCATCTGTCGCTTCCTGGGACGAACGGACAGGACGCGAGCTTTGACGGTCATGCCTTCGCGGAACTTCTTCTCAGGGTGCTGCAGGCGAACATCGGCAAAGTGCGTTTCGTGGACATAACCGGTGATGCCTTCAGCAACCTTGACGACCAAGCCGCTGACGCCCTGCCCACCAACGACCACCTTCTCGATCGTGCAGCTAACAATTTCACCGGCAGGCACATCCTCCAGACGGATGAATTGCTGCTCGATGATGGTAGGCTCAAACGTCATCAAGTACATGCCATCGAAGGCGCTGTAGCCAATGACCCTACCACGGTGAACAGAACCCTCCTTAAACGGGCCGCTCGACTCATAGAGCGCCTCAACCTTGCCATCCTTGACCTTTGAGATGTGGACGAAGCCAGACAGCCCTGCGACGCCGACGTCGACGTAAAGACCGATCTCAGGCTCAACCTTGCGTACAATGCACTTGTCAACGCGGACAGCGATGGGCAGTACGTTGAGGGGGGGCTTGGCTTGCCCGCCTTTGCCGGCCTTCTTCGCTTGCAGCTTGATGATATGAGGGAGCAGCGAGATGCCGAGCTTGGGGTTCTTTGCGTTGGGGAATGTGCAGATGACGCGGGCTTTGACGCGCGACCCGACCTTGTACTTCGCATCGAGGTCCACAGCGTCAGGACCGGCACCGGAGTGAATGAGGTCGGCAGTGACTGGGAGGTGACCTAGGATCTTGCCGAGGAGGCCGCGACCGGTGGTGCTCGTGACCAGAACGTCCACCACGGTGCCCGGCTGGAAAGTGTTGACGGTGGTGGCCTCGGTAGCAATGTTGTCGGCCTTTCCCAGCTTCTCCGAGTCCAGGCAAAGCTGGGCAATCTTGCCCGAGACACTCTTGACAAGGCAGAGAGACACCGCGCCGGGCTGAAGTCTCAACTCATCGACTTCAGAGCCGACATCCTTCTTCGGCAGAAAGCCCTTGAGCTTCTTGTTGTCGACTCCCAGTTCCATCTCATAACCATGGTCCTGAACGCTGGTGACGGCCGCCATGACGGTAGCGTTGGCGACTACATCATTCTTCGACATGCCGGAATTGGCGTCTTCGGGGCGCAGTGACAGCTCAATGTGGTTCTTCTTTCCTGAGCCTTCGCCTTCCTTAGTAGAGAGGACGTAGGCACGGACGTACTGGCCGACTTCGAAGAGCGAGTTTAGCTCAATGTCGTCGTCATCGTCGTTCTCGTCGGCGCTGTCGTCGTCGTCCGAGGCCTCGGCTGCTTGCTGGATCTTCGCCGTGACGACATTGGAAATGGCGGCAATTGATACATTGCCACTGAGGTTGTTGGGCAATGCGATGGTGATGTTGTGGTGAGAAATGGCAGAGACTTGACCGAGGACAACAGATCCCTTTGCGAGACGCTGTTCGCTGTTGTTAGTCGAGTGCATGAGGGGGTTCACGGCATGGGGGGGCTGCCTACCTTGTAGTTCAGGGCCTCAATCTTGGTCCCATCCTCATCTGACGAGGACTTCTTCTTGGTATCTTCAAAGGCGCCGAGCTTGGACTTCCTCCTCTTTTCTTTCTTGTGCTTGGTTTTCTCCTCGGTATCGAATTCGCCCTCTCTCAAGGCATCGGCTTTCGCCTCAAGTTGAATCTGCTTCTGCTCAAGCGGCGTCAGGACGCTGCCGCCACCACGAGGGAACATGGGCTCTTCGTCCTTGAGGATGCTAGAAATGACCGACTTGGGTGCATCAGCACCGGAGCTGGCCCGCTTCTGGCTGTCGGCGCCATCTCTGATCGAGGTTGACGGCTTGTCGGACTTGGCTGGTCGGGTATCCTTGGAAGACTTTGCCTTCTTGGAGGGAATATCGCCACCCGGGGCTTCCTTTCGTTTGAGTGAGCCCATTGCGTGGAATGCGGCTCGTGGAGCTGTAATGCAACAAGTCGTGAGGTAAAGGTACCGCTCCGACTCGAGTGCTGAACTGAATCCAATCCACCAGTTCCCGTCGCTGGGCCTGTTGATTTTTTTTTCTTCCTTCGATGCGGGATGCGACCGATAAGATAAGACAGCTGGAGGCGATAAGATTGTCCCTTCGAGACAACTCACCGCCCGCCCTCCAGCGGCCCACCGACTGCTGGCGGCACTCCGGCCGGTTGGCGCTGACGCTGGCGTGGTCGCCGCCTGCTAGCCTGTGACGGCAGCATGGGCCTACAGAGGGACTAGCCCCCCCCCTAGTCCCAGCCATCAAGGCAGGCAGCCAGCCAGTGTCAAGTGTTTACCGCTAATAGCCTTTGACCACATGCCAGATCATCGATGATGTAGCGGCCTGAGAGGTATCTGGGCTCTCGAGGTTTACTCCTGCCAACACCAACACTCTCTGTCACAACCTCAACATGGCGCCTCGAAAGCGCGTGCGACCAAACTCTTCCACCGCGAGCTCTGCGAGCCTTCCTGCACCGAACCCCGCGACGCCTGCGACTACGTCACCGGCGCCTCCCGTGCTGGATACCACGACATCCTCGGTTGGACAACGCGATATGCCGACCCCCAGTGGTGTCAAACACAACGAGACCCCCAAGCCAGCATCTAGCGGACAGAAGGGGGTGCGCAAAAGCCGAAGCTGGTATGGATCCTGGCCGCGTGCACCCAAATCGTCCGCACTGGTGCCCCAGATTGCCCGGGAGACGATCCTCGGGGGCACCAATCGACCACCGAGCGTATCCGACTTGAGACGCTTCGATTCCAAGAAGAGTACCGACTCGTCGAGCCTTGAAGGAGCAATGGGGCCGGCAATGACTCTGCCCAACATTTCGGAAAACCCTTCGGCGAATGCAGACTTGGAACGGATGGACACTGAAATGACGAATGGCCCGTCAGCCCAGGAAACAATGGATGGGAAGGACGTGCCCGCGGAGGACCAGGCAAAAGAGGAGAACACGACTTCTCAGGATGTTGAAATGGAACCATCCCCCCAAAGACCCTCAACGGCAACAGGGTGGTTCGGCTGGTTGGGCAGGGCGCAGCTGTCCGACTCGAACTCATTGCCGCCAGCTGCACATGATACGATAACGAATGATCCGCCAAAAGAGCCTGAAACAACATCAGTGCCGATTGCAGATCTAGTTTTGGAGAGACCATCGACACCGAACCCAGAGCCACAAACTGATCCGGAGCGTCAAGCGCCTCCCACCGCCTCCACTTGGTTTGGTTTCTGGTCTGCCGCAACGCCCCCAGGCGGCTGCCGAAGGCCAACCCCAGACTCCTCAAACTCCGATTCCTGCACCTAGGGTTGGCCCAGAATCACAACCTCAAGACGTGTCGATGACCGACGCCCCCGAACCTACGGCTGTTCAGTCGCCGCCGCCACCGGCTGGGTCGACGTGGGCATTCTGGTCAAGAGATGTTAAGTCCAAGGCCGACGGCAAGGCGCCGCAGCCAGAAACCGGAGAGATGGCTGTCATCGGGCAAGGATCAGAGGCACATCCTGAGCCGGCACATGGCATCGTCACATCACAAACGACTGATTCAACGAAGGACCTCAAAACCAAGCTCAAGGCTGCGACGATAGGGCCGGCGGCCGGGAAAAAGAACAAAAGACTCCGACCTCAGTCCATGGATCTGGATGACGCATCTGTGCGATCAGGCACGGCGACACCACAGCCTGTAGCATCGTCCAAATCATCCATCACAGAATCTGTACAAGAAAGCCCTGGTAAGCCTGCAGCGACCAAGCCGGCGTCCATTTCCGAGTCGCCTGCCAAGTCGCTGCCGCCTAATCTGCTGCTCCCGTCTTTTGGCAGCACATATCACATGAAGGAAAATCCATCCATCTTAAAGCAGATCACGCAGCTTCTCCTTCGTACACAACAGCCTGCTACGAACCATGTCTTTCGTGTTAAAGAAACGCCAAAGGTGAAGAAGGCCATTGCCATCGGTGTTCACGGCCTGTTTCCCGCAACATACCTTCGGCCCATGGTCGGACAGCCGACGGGTACGTCTCTGCGTCTCGCAAGTCACTGCGCCGAAGGCATCAGGAGGTGGGCCGATGCTCACGGATGTGGAGATTGCGAAATCGAGAAGGTCGCGCTTGAGGGAGAGGGCAAAATTGCAGATCGCGTGGACAACCTATGGAAGCTACTTCTGAACTGGATTGAGCCCTTGCGAAGCGCAGACCTGATCATTCTCGCATGCCACTCGCAAGGTGTGCCTGTGGCGATCATGCTGGTGGCTAAGCTCATTGATTTAGGCATCATAACAAACGCAAGAATCGGAGTTTGCGCCATGGGTGAGTATCCTTTCCAAACACGTTGGTGCATTGACTAATCTGGCTTCAGCTGGTGTATCGCTCGGTCCGTTTCCCGACTACAGATCTAGTATGGGTATGCTTATGGGCACGGCCGCCGAGTTGTGGGACTTTTCCAACTCAGAGAGTGAGGTGTCCAGACGATACGAAACTGCCCTCAAGGAAGTGCTGGAGTACGGTGCAAGAATCACCTACATCGGAAGTATCGACGACCAGCTGGTGCCCATGGAGTCGGCCATATACTCTCCGGCGTCTCACCCCTACATCTACCGCGCTGTCTTCATTGACGGTCGCATTCACGCCCCTGACTTGTGAGTCCCGTTTTCCCAATCGAATGTGCTCACGCTAAAGACTACAGCATCGCCCACTTGGTAGGCTTTGCACTGAAGCTCCGCAATCTCGGTGTCTCTGATCACGGCCTTATCCGTGAGCTATCCACGCCGCTCGCCGGCTCCCTCTACTCAGGCGAGGGGCACTCACGACTCTACTACGACGAGCAAGTCTACGACCTCGCCGTCTCTCACGCGCTGGAGACTACCAACGTCCCCCCACACGTGACGAATCGCCAATGCCAGGTACGGCACCCTCACCGGCCAGACTCTGCTGGTACCAATAAAACGACGGGTGGACCTGGCCCTCTCACGAACCCTAACCCTTACCACCTACCATGGATCATGCGTGGCCTCCTTGAAGAGGACTTTGTCAAAACAGAGCTCTCGGCAGAGACAGAGGAGCTCCTCCGCCAGTTCGACGACTGGAAGCCCACGACCAAGGCGCTGAAGGACGTCAAGTACCGGCTGGAAGCCGTGCGATCGAAGCTCTGAGCATGTGCTGGTGGTCTCACCCGCCTGGACGACAATGGCTCTTTTGAGGAGATTGGAATAGCGACTAGATTTGATGAGCTCACGCTGCATACTTATACCCCACAAGACGACATACAAGCTTCCTCATGCCTGTAGTCGTATGTATAACCCCCAAGACAGGATAACAAATTGGCGCATGACGGTTGGCTTTACACAGACTTATTGAGAGAGATTCTTCGTCTAGATGCCTATGCAGCGTAGCAAACAGTACTTGATTTACAACCCTTCTGCCCCCCGCCGTGAACCCGTCAACCCCAATCCTGTTTGTTGCGCGTTCATGCTGCATCCCGCCAATATCGTTACACAAAAACAGTTGTTAGTATACACCACGGTAGGCCCCTTTTCATCTAGAGGGGAAAAGCCGCGTCGTTTAAAGCAGGATACAGGGCGGCGCCGCTTCACCTCCGGCCCAGCTGCCACCCGTAGACGGTGTTCTGAATCGACTCCCACGTCAGCGAGTGCGTGCTGACGCCGTGCGCCTGGGCCTCCTGCAGCACGACGGTGGGCGCGCCGCTGCCCCTGCCGGGGTTCTCTACCATGCCGCCGACGACGAGCTTGGCGACGCGCCTCAGGTCGTCAACGGTCAGAGCCTCGATCTTGCGGCACATGTCGCCGACGGGGACCTTGCGGCCGTGGACCTGGACCTGCCTGCCGAGGTCCTCGAGCTCGACCATACGGCTCTCAAGGTTCATGAGCAGGCTGCTGCGCAGCTGGTTCTTGGCCCGCTGAACCTCGACAGACCGCAGCGCCGACGAGGCGTGGCCCGGCTCGAGCGTCAGGGCGCGCAGCTCGCGGCACATGACGTCGAGCATGGCGCCCGCGCGGCCCGGCAGGCACGCGGCGGAGATGCCAAAGAGGCCCGAGTCGGTGTACGAGTGGTTGAAGGCGACGCACGACTCGACCCAGCCGTGCTGGTTGAGCACGTTGGTGTACAGCCGCGAGTACATGCCCTTGCCCGGACCGCCGGCCGAGAAGGAGCCGCCGCCGCCGAGGAGGGTCTGCAGCGTGGCGAGGGCGTAAATGTCATCCGAAGAGATGGGGAGACCTTCGAAGGCGAGGTGGATATGCGTAAAGTTCGGCGCCGCGGGGTTCAGCGAAGGCGGCTGCGGGGGCAGCGCCATGAAGCCGCCAGTGTAGTGAGAGGGGCGGAAAATGTCGGTGGACGATGCGTCGGCGGCGACGGCGGCCTGAGACGGAGCAGATGTGGAGAGGTTCTTAAAGAAGGGCACCTTCGACAGCAGGCTCGAGGGCTTCTGCGCCGGGGAAGAGGAGGTGGAGGAGGGGGCGGACCAGGATGAGTCGGTGCTCGCCTCGGACGTTTCGGAACCGGAGCGGGTGAAGGCCGCTGCTGGCTTGTCGCTGGAGACCATGTCACCAAAGTACTGTGTCGCCAGCTGGACGGCCTCGTTGTGCTCAACACCGGCAAAGGCGACCACCATGCGTTCTGGGCGGTAGAAGGCGTCACGGTAGGCGCGGATCGTTGACCCGTTGATGTAGGGCAGCTGCTCCTCAGGGCACAGGAGGGGGTTGCCGAGGGTATTGTCCTTGAATGCAGCCGTGTGGACGAGCTCGGGAAGAATGAGGTCAGGCTTGCTCCAGATCTCCTTTATCTCGTAGGCGGCTGTGCCGAGCTGTTCTTGCACCTCCTCTTCGGTCAACAGGGGGTCACGGATCGTCTCGGCCAACAAAGCAATGGTGGTCGGGACAGCGGCGTTAAACGTGGCGGCCTGATACATCATGGCCTCTCGCGGGCTTGCGCACTGGATGTTGCCACCTAGAGCCTCGACCTGCTCGATCATTTCGTCGGCGGAGCGTTTTGATGTGCTCTTGAAGGCGAGACGGTCCATGATGTGGCTCACCCCCCTCAAGCTGCTGCTCTCATATCTGGAGCCCGCATCGACATAGACGCCAACGCCGGAGAAAGAGCCCGGTAGAGCCTCCGAGCGATGCGGAGGCCATTGGGGAGTGTGGTAATGTTGTCGAGATCGGTTGGCCTCACGTGGGATTGGATCGATGACAGTCGCGTGGGTGCGGGCGGACCGAGCAAGGGACGGCAGGGCGAATGCGGGTTTGGTGACGAGTGCCCGCGTGCGCTGAGGCAGCCCGCGGTGCTATTGATCGGAGCATATTGGCGCCGAGTAGTGATGTGGTGCGAGAGAGGAGCGCGATGGCCTTGATGAATGAATGAGTCGGATCCGAAAAAAAGGCTGTACGATCTTAACGAGCTTGTTCGTTCTCTGCCTGGTATCCTGGCACGGCGCACATCCTTATCGGCTTATCGCGGCGCCCAGACTTGTGGAGACACAACAGTATTGGTACATTCGAGACAGACGTCACCCTGCACCCGATGCAGCGCCCACAAAATCACACAAGAAAGTAAAGACTAGATCTTTTGGTTGGGGAATGCTCAGTTCCGCTACGATTAATTTCTTTCAAGGACCACACAAAAAAAACTGATGAGGCAGAAAGTGCCTTGAATCGTTCTAGCAGGTCTCAATAGACCAACACCGTACTCCTGATGGCTTCTCTGCCCGCCCAGTCCCTGCTATGATGCTAGTGAGCCTAACCGGCCGACCGCCGGGCCTTCCAAGAGAATCGATAGTGATGATTACGCTCCGCTAGCCATGCTAATATGTTGTGTCCTCCGAATTCGAGTGTATATGACTGTGTCGCAAGACTTCCACCCAGATCCTCCTCTAGCGCTTCCGCTTAGGATCTGTCCTGCCGCGCCTGTTCGTCTTCAGTAGTTTGCGACGAGCTGGGCAACTTCCCGATACGTCGGGCTCGCCCCCGTAGGCCAATGTCGACGGGCACTATCTGTCGACATCCATCTCCGTGGCAGCGTCTAATGAGCGCATACCGCCTGCCTCCTCAGACATTGACGCGTTTCGGCTGCCGGCGGCGCTGCCGTCAAACACCCATGGTCCCGCGTCGTTTCTCGGCGTGATGGGGCCCTCGTGGCCATTCAGGTGGGGCTGTCCCGGCGGCGACGGCGTCCTATCGCGTGACGAACCGTTTATGAGATGTAGAGGCCCTGATGGCGATCGTATTGTCATGGGCTGCGATACGGAGCTCGGAATCAACGTGCTTCGGTCGGCAGCTGTGTTGCGGGTCGCGCGTTCCTCCTGGCGTCCGGTCACGTCCACAAGCTCGTCGCCGTCGCTGCTGACACGGCCTTCAGGTCGCGCCTCCCGCACATCTTGCGAGTGATCCGAGGTGGGCACCTTGGCGTCAACACCAGACCCGTCGTCTTCTTTCTTCTCCGACTCCTCGGCTTCGACGTCCCAGTCTTCGTCTGGATCCTCGATGTCGGCTTCCAAATCCGCGGCCATACGGCAGTTTGGACAGACAAACGTGGGATATTGTGGAGTGTTTAGCAGAGCGCGAATGCACTTGTAGTGCCATGTGTGCGAACACGGCGCGACGAAGAGGCTCTGGCAGGGCTACATTGCTTGTCAGTCACGGAAGCACGGACGGATATCCACTAAACATACGGCAATGGAGTTGAGGCAAATCGAGCAGTCTTGCGTCGAGTTTGTCGAGTTGGCAGAGGACGTCAAGTTGCGCAGACGCTTGTGATTTTGGACACTGCGTCATTGTCAGTTTCGGACTCCTCCTCGCGCCGGGGATCGGCATACATACTTGAAAGCATTGGGCTTGTTCTGCCAGCCTCGGTTTAACTCCAACCGCATCTTGACGCAGCGAAATATCATTTCTTCGCCGCCCTTGAAATCGATACCAAGCTGCACGATGTCGCCGTCGTTGATAGGGAATGGCTTTGACTCTGTGCCGGGGGGACTCAGGCGGATGTGGTTGAGAAAGGTACCAGATGAAGACTTGACATCTTTGATATACCACTTGCCCTGGTCGTACCAAAATTCACAGTGACGTCGACTGACAACCTTGCTTTTGAAACCCACGGGTGCGGCCGACGGGACGTTGTGAGGGACGGCCGGCTGGTTCTCTCGCTCCGAGTATCGCCCGACACGAATGGTCTCGCCTCCAGAAGGCAGTGTTCGGGCCACGGGTGAGAACGACAAGCTGGGCCGCGTAGCACGGGGGTCGAAGTAGGCAGAGAACCGGATGGACGGCAAGGCATCGTGAGTCGACGTGCTGGCAGCGACATTGGCAACAGCAGCTGCCATAGCGGCGACGTCGCCCGTGGTCGAAGACCTCAGCCTCGTCGTCCTGGGCTCGGGCATCGGCTCCTCAG